ACCCCTTGTCATTCACTTAGGTTCGTGTGCGTGTGGTATTAAGGCGTGCAACACGTGCTGCGAGCATGCGAGCGTTAGGTGTCGATTGATGGAGGAAAACGATTTGTGGGTGGACGCGATTAATCATCCGAGATATTTTCTCGCCGGGATCTTTTTCGGATGAATTGCAAGTCTTATGGTGGATCGGAATTATCTTTTGTGCCGGTCCATGGGTTTAAATTGGCGATGATGTGGAATTGATAGGGTACACGATAATTTGGAATTGAGAGACAAGCAATTTCTTCTAAGATGAAACTGGCATACAATAGAAAATGTAATTGCGTAATTACGGTATTTATGATATATTTGTCATAGTATTTCTATGCTTTAATCCTTTCCATTACGATTTCTGTCACAGCTACAGTGATATGATATATGATAATTTGGAATTGAGAGACAAGCAATTTTTTCTAAAATAGAACTGGCATACAATAGAAAATGTGATTGCGTAATTAAGGTATTTGTGATATATTTGTCATAGTATTTGTAGGCTTTAATCCCTTCCATTACGATTTCTGTCACAGCTACGTTGATTAACATTTGTTTGTTACTAATCAATTTCTACGCAAGATTATTTATTTCTCACTCATTTCAACTCTCTAAATCCAAAATAGTTATTTTGACCTACAATATTTCCATTTTATATTCTTAATTAATTCTTAATTCTTGATTAAGTCTTGTGACTCGTACAATAGCGACACTTTTGACACTTCTTTTTAAATATGAACTTTGATAATGCGAGAATGATTTCCAGACGTCATGGAACAATTTTTAATGTTAATGTTTCCCAACTTTTAAATATCAACGACAAAAGTATAGAGGTTTATTTCGATTTGAATTAAATGAGCAACACATCCATATTTAGTAGATCGCGTTCGAAATCTTAACGAGCCTGGCAGGAAATTACTTAGCAATGTGAAAATAATTGAATTCCCTAAATTTTCTTTGACGTACAGTAACAGAAAATATTTCTCTCGAACAGCGAAAAATTTGTGCTCCATACAAGAATGATTTTCTCTCATTCTGACTTCGTGTACCGAAATAATGAAATCATAAGACGCAAGCAGATGCTTCCACGAGCCAAGCCGAGATCATTATCTCCCCGTCCACGAGGTATCCGCGAATTCCACTCGGAAATCAACCACCCCGTGGCTCCACGAATCCGAAAATTCCAACACGGCGCCTCGATATCCCATTAATCCGGGACCACAGCTCGGAATATTATAATCTGCCGATAATTGGGAATAATTGCTCGGGCACGCTTTCACGGAATACTGTTTCGTCGAAGGGAGATTTATATTCGAGCTTCTTTTCCCTTCTTCCTCCTCTTCTTTCTTCTTCTTTTTTTTTTCTTCTCTTGCTTATCCGCGGGCGCATCTTGGCCAATTACCGAAGCCGCCAGCTTCCACCATCGGCGCGGTTCATTTAAGAAGATAATAAGTATTGCGAAAGGCACGATGACTAACGCAAAACGACCGGAGAGAACGGGCCGAGGATAAGAGGATGGAGGAGGAAACGAAGGTATTGGGTGAGTGCAGAAGTTTTCATGGCTTTTTCTAGAGGCCCATAGACACTGTCCCATCACGCGAAGTTATTTATTTAACGCTGCAATCGTCGACCATCGATCGCAAACATTCTCGCGGTATCGAAATTTTTTGATTAATAGAAAGTTCAAATTTATTACAGGAAGTATACCTGAAAACCTGTAGTATAGGAGGTATACCTGTTTTTTTTATTTTAAATATCTCAGTAACATCCAGTTTTTTAAAAATATTTTACTATAAAAATGTATCTCAAATACGTGAAAAATTAGTTAAAAATATTTTGCTACTTCCGCCTATTTAATTTTATAAGTGTAATTATAATTTTATATATTCATGTGTTCGGGCAAAAAAGAACTGTTTGTTACAGAACAAGAAATAAAAATAATGAATAAAAGGAAATGGATTTTATATAACCGTCGAGTACAATAAAAAAAAAATGAATGTACTATGTAAGTAAAATACAAAGTAAAACGAAATTTGTAGTTTTCTGTATATAATATAATATCTGTAATTTTTCGTCACAAATGCATAAAATCCTAAATTATAAAATTATTTTTCTAGGATTCTAATTACTATCCTAGCACTTTTATGCAAATTTTTTCGTGGAACACACAAGGGTTGAAAATTTTGCATGCAATTGTAGATGCTTCAGATGACTCGCAGCTTTGCGATCGATTCTCTAACGAATATTCTCGACGGCGAAGAAATTCGTCGAACAATTTCACTGAAAAACACAACGTCTATGGCGAAATCATGGAAACTTCAGCACTCACCCAATAGAGAGGTTCGACCGAACGAATCCTACTCCGTAGCCCACTCTCTTCTTCCGTTCCTCATCGCCTGAATCGGCTCGCCTCTCCTCTTTCGACCAGGCCCTCCCACTCTTTCCCCCGTACACATTCCCCGTAACCCTCCCCCTGGGGATTCAACAGGTGGTGCGTTCGCCTCGTGGCCGTACGTACTATGATGTCCCACACGTCGTGCCCACGTAATCATGTGCGTATGGGTGTACCCCATGGGCACCGCGTGTAGGAAGTACTCTGACCCCTCATCCGCTTCAGGGCCACTCCATATGCGCTCGTTCGTGATCTTCGAACCTGCTACGCTCCTACAGGAACCGAGTTTTTTGTCAGTTCGCGCCGGTCTATATGCGGAACGATGTCGTTTCCCCTGGGAACTCGAACGTCTGTCGATCTCCGTTCCATTTTTCGTTCGCTCGATCGTGATTTTGGCTCGGCGGTTAGGTTCGTGAACTCGGCGATTTCGACGAGCACGCGCGTCGTTTTTTAACCCTTTGCACTCGAGTGGTGACTCTGAGGCACCACTAAAATTTGTTGTATCACCTTCTATGATAATGTTGACACTAACAAAGTTCACATTGGAAAAATTATTAAGAATGTAACCGTTGTGCGAATCCCAAGAATCAATTTCATACGCATAATATGCATTTTGTCATATAAAATAGAAATGCTACAAGTTAGAAAAATGATTTTATAATTACAGTTATAAAATAGCTTCGAGTGCGAAGGGTTAAGGAAGCGGTTCGCGAATTCGGCTGTTTAATTTCTACGTTTTCTGTTTCTATTTTCTTCCTGTTTCCGTTCTTTTGACTAATTCAACTGTGTTGTTTTTCTCAGATCCCCAGATAGCACGAAGACGTTTTTAAGACGTTTAAAAGACGTCTTAAAGACGTCTGGTGTACGGCATTCCGGACGTCCACGAGACGGGACGTCCTATGAACGGCCTGCGAACGACCTAGAAGCGTCTCATGTTACAAATCACGACGTCGAAGTTGAGACATTCGATTGCAGAAGGCGTATATTATCAATAACAAACATATATGCTGATGAATTCTGATTGACACTCGATTGTTGTTTTCGATGGTTTATTCATGTTCATTGTTCACCCTGCACACGAACTTCAAACGTTACAAAACAGGGCCCGCAACACGCTCCAACAATATCAAACGAATTAAACTACTTATTTCGAATGCTAAGACATTACGTACAGTTTTCTCGTAGTAATTATTTGCACTTTTTAATCTGTTAGTTTTATCTCGTGTCGCGTTACGAAATGCGTCTGACTTGAAGCTGGAGAACAATCAACGAGTCTCAATCAACGTGTCTCAATCGACGATTCAAGCAGACTATGTATCGATCATAATAAAATACCGAGAGCCCCGGCATGATGTGGAACATTTTTATACGTTCTGTATCGAACGTCTCTTAATAAATGTCTCCGAACCACGGGGCCGTTGTCCGACAAATTCGCCGGACAGGAACATAATGGCTCCATCGTCGGATCAGCATTGAATTTGTCCGAATCCTGTGACCTTTCGGTAGCCAGCGAGGCATAAAACATCTCTGTGCGGGAGGAATGTTCCTCGAGGGTCTCGAAAATAGAAATCGCGGTGCCATTGGCTGGCCGATGCAAAAAACAAACCTAGCTGGAGGAAGAGGTAGAGGAATTCCTGCGTGAGAAAGGAAACTGGAATCCTCGTATCGTCTCGAATTTGGCGTAAAACGACGCCCACCTCGCGGCACCTGCCAGCCGTTCGGATTGCCCAACATCCGTTCCATTCTACGAATTCATCGCGCGCGCGCGGATCTCTCTCGCGGTCCTTGCCTACGCGCGTTTTTGGGCCTCACCGACGCACAGTGCGATATTTCGATAATATAGGGAGACCCAGTTCTCAACGATTATATTTATTGTTTTCTTTTTTATTATGAGTTTGATTATAATTACTTTGAATCTTGATTTATAATCATTTTTAACACGAGCAACTATATTATTATATTAGCAATTATATCTAAAATATAGTATTATTATTAGTGTTATATTATTATTTATTAATATATATTATTATTTTTAAAAGTATCATATATTCCATGTCGATAATTGTTAAATGAGGAATATTAAAAGCACAGCATAAAGATTGGAATAATTCCCAAAATAAATACAAGGAACAATCAATGTTTAAATGCAAAAGTTCTCGCTGTGAAACTGCGTCAATCTACCAATCAATGTCAGAGAGTTCGTATATCGGACATATTTATCTGATCTGAATGCATATAAAATTTTAAGAATAATAATTATTCTTGGTCACAAGATATTGCATTGAAATGAAGGGTAACTTGGAAATCGTCTAAACATATTCAATTTCCGAATGGAATTCGATATTGTCGAAATATCCGGCTGTGTACGGGCCACTAACACCGGCGCAACATTTCCGAATGAAAGCAGCGAGAGCACCGGCCGAAGATCCACGGGATTTACATACTCAATATTGCATGAGTTAACCCGCGCTGTCCATTTTCGACTGACTTCTTCCGCGCCGATCCCCTCCGGCGGATCGTGGGCGTCCGCGCGCATAAATATTCTGATTTCCGGGAATATTGATCAACGTTTCAATTACAGGCGAACGAGGAATCCCGCGCGCGGCTTGTCCGACAACCACAACAACACTTGCTCGCCCGGATCCGTGACACGGGATTAATCAAATTCCATTCTCTGAGCGATTCGGCCACGAGACCCGGAAGACCGGCGGCCATTGTGACGGGAATGGCGTCATCTGTCGTGGATTTTCAGCTCGGCGAGACCTGTTCTCAATTTTCTGATGACGAGCAACACGGTGAGTCCGATCTTTTTTTTACGATCGTCGAAGCAAAGAAATCTAATTTTAGGTGGAAATTTTATTTTAATATTACCAACGGTAAATATGTCTCCTTCTATTTTTTTAGTTACTCTTTAGAACTAATTATTTACAGATTAATTCGTGGTAGTATTATAAGACATATTATAACAGTATTATAACAGTAAAGATATTTTCTTCTATTTTTTAGTTATTCTTTGGTACTAATTATTTACAGATTAATTCGTGGTAGTATTATAAGGCATATTATAACAACATTATAACATTTTTTAGTTATTCTTTGGAACTAATTATTTATAGATTAATTCCTGGTAATATTATAAAATTATTATGTTCACGTCAGAGTCAAGTTACAGCTGTTGAAAGATATAAATATCTCTAGGTTTCTCTGTTTTTGATCGAAAGTCGTGGAGAACTGCGATTTTCGCTATCTAAAATTATTTGTAACTCGTAACGTCAGCCGATCTCGATAAAATTTGCATTATGCACGCAACTTACCGAGATCTATAAAACGCAATTTTTAAATATTCATTACAATTTCTTATTTTTCTTTTCGTTCGAACAAACTGCAGAACACAAATAATTTCGTCCACTTTGAAAAAAATCCGAATAATAATGCGAGTCACTGTAATCATTAGCATTTGACCGATACATTAAACCCCGATCCACTATACTAAACGTACCGGGATGGTCAGAAATTTTTACCACGTTGTAGTTTTAGTAACCTATTAGATTTCGGAAAAAATCACTAACTGAGTCATTAGTGAAATTGCATAACGTGGCTTTTATGCTCTGATTAATGTTCTAATTAAACTGAGGATGTTCAAATGTTTATGACTTATAAACCATTAAGTACAGGAAATAATAAAACGAAACTAACATCACGTTCAAAATTTGTTTAAAAATTTTCACGAGTGTACGTACCCACAACTGAATTGCGGATACTTATGCGTTCGTGGCACGTTCGAATGTTCGATGACGAAAATATTACAGAATAGAACAAAAGTACTACGATTAAAAAGAAAAAAGAAAACCGATTCCAAAGAGTTACTTTCATGCGTCAAGAATAATCACCGAAAGTGGAAGTACGCATTGCGACGACCGCGGCCTGACTGGCAGTCAAAGTTGTCAAGGGTGTCGTCAGGGTGCTGGTCGGTCGTAATGAGAAGCAGTAATTAACCTTAGAGGGCTCCCTTAAGTGTACCAAGACGCTTCCTAACGGCCAGAAAGTTTCCATAAGGTCGGGAGGGTGGGAGATGCAGTTTTCCCATCGGTGCAGGTATTATCCCGCGGAGGTGGACCCGGCATTTGTCTTATTAGAGGAAATATATTAATGTCAAGAAGCATTACGTCGTACGTCTGCATCAACCTGTCGTGTTCGGGCCTCGCGCAACCATAACACCGTTGCTCCCTGCCATCTGTACACGTATCGGCGCGATGGTGTAGGAGGGTACGTAAGCACGATTACGCATCGCACCGGCTCGCCTGCCCTTAACGAGCGTTATTCAATAATATTCAAATTTAATGACTGGCTCGTAAACAACATTAATGAACCGAGGAATCGGTCGGCACCGGCGATCCGCCATACTAATTAAAATATAATGAGCAGAGCAATTGTTGGGGCCCATAAAGCGTTCGTTGGATAATCGACAGAAAGGCTCGGTTATCGTGGTCACGTTTGATCGATGTCCGAGAACATTCGATTGATACAGTCATTTTATTCGGCCAATCAAATTCATCCGTTCGTATCGTCCAGCGTTGGCCAATATTTTATTCCGACGACGTGCACGATTTTATTCGACGCTGTGCGAAAACAGATTTATCTGGATTAAAATTGATCCGAATAAGACTTCTATTCGAATAGAAATATCATATTTGTATAGGAATTCATACGGAAAATAATCGATTCGATTAAAAATAATAGAATATAAGGTGTCTTTTTCATAGTTTATCGATTTATTTCTTCCAATATTACTTTTGTTGCATCGGAAAATGTGTTACTTTTGGGAAGATTGATCCTCGATCGATCACGAGAAAAATGCGAGTAGGGTTATGAAAGCGAAAATATAAATCATTTTTTATAGTAATGTTCATTGTATGACTCACAAAGAATATCGGCACGTCCATACAATTGCCGAATATCAAAGCTTTCCTTTCGCATCTTTTCTTGCTTTAAGGATTGCGATTTACGAATACTTCCTGTAATCAATTCCTCCTGTACAAATACATTCTCTCACTACGCTTGCAATCTGTAGTTGAGTAAACTTACAAAGGTTTAATGCGCTCAATAAAAACAAAATAAAAAGCTTGTAGGACTCAAACTGATTTGTACACCTTAGCGCTTCTCGGAAAACGTGGCCACGATTGCCAGGCCATAAGCGGCTCGCCGGGGAAACTGTCGTGCAGCCTCCACGAAACGGAAGCTATCGCGGAGGATCGATGGATCGCGAGAGGGAAGCGATCAGTCAGCGTCCGCGCGCGCCGAGATGACAGGATATCGCGCTGAAACAATGAAGCCCGGCCCGGCGGAGTAAAATCGCGGAGGATCGTATGCTCGTGAGGGGTCAGAGGGGGGCCATAGTGGCGGAGTGTAGGGCCCCTCGCCGGTGGTACCTGCACAATACCTGCGCGTCGGCGTGGGCGCACGAACCGCCTGGCCGCGTCTCAACCTGCTGAAACTCGTTCCGCGCCGCGCCGGCTCTCTGACGGGGCCTCCGAGAGTGCACCGGCACGGACGTCGGCTTCCGAGGACGACGAGCTGGCTTCTCTCCTGGGCCTGTCGGGCCCGGCTCGGATCCGCTCCGCGTTTCGCTCGCGTAGACGATGCAAAAGCGCCGAGAGGGCCCGGAATCGTGGGCCTCGGACGCGTCGGAGGCATATAAACCAGGATTACAGGAGACACGCGGCGCCGTAATTCTCGCCGGCCGACGCCTGACCACCGTTCGACTCTCCTCCACCTTAAAAATAACGCCTCCCGTCAGCTTTCGATCCCCTACCTCCGTTGCTTCTCGCGGTTTCACGTGCCTACGGTGGCGCGGCGCGGCTTGGCTTAGCCGTCGATTCAAATTTCTACTCTGATTGATCGATCGGGCGGCGCGATTAAACCCTTTCCACTCGATTGCGCCGATGTACGAGACCGTAGGAATTTTACAATTTATTATTATTATTGTTATTGTTTATTTATTTTAGCGTGGCCGTGCTAACTGCGAAGTCGCCGGCGACCACGTGCTTTACGATTTTTTTTAATTGTACATGAAAATTTATATTCACGTGAGTAACTGTAACAGAAAATTATGACGTGTAACGAATGTACTATTTTTAGTCTATTAAAACAATTAAAGGAAGATCGAAGCTGCCACTTGGTTTCTGTTTTTTTGCAATTGATGCAGACATTTTAGTTTGCATAAAAATCCGAAGTCTAATTATTACCCTCATTCCAGTATGAGATAGAATTTCGAATAGAATTTGATTTCTATGTTATATGTAATTTTTTTGTGGAGCTCAGTAAGTGTTTTTCTTATTTTCATTAAGTGTGGATGTGTTTTTATGTTATGTTCTCGGATTTGTGACTGAACATTCTTAGAATTTGTGGCTAACGAAGTACAATAAATTCTCTCTAATCGACGCTCAGATTGTGCATAAAAATGGACAATTTGGGGAGAAGAGATACAATTTTTATAGTTGCCGATTTTCAACAATTATAAAAACGAGGTGCAAGGCTCGACTAAGTCTCCTCTTCTTAAANCCTCGGTAATCCCACATTCTAGCACCAGTGGAACCGTTGCGACCACCATAGAGAGAACGGACACAGACGTCAACGGTGGTACTGTTAATGTCACCACGGAGGAGGTAATGCTTCAATGCTTCGAGCTTCTCATTTGTATTATAGTCCATGCTGCTGTCATTATAGCCGCGATTACGACGAGTCTCTCGCTTCGCCAGTCGGTTGCCAAACGAATCCCGAAACCACCCACGTAAACGTAGCAAAGAATCATGTGCCGAGCTTCTGCTTCTTTTGTACGCGTGTGCTTCATTTGTTATTCATCGGTGCGTCCTCGATTTATTAAACATTCTCGCAGTGTTTATCTCGCCAACGGCGGATGTATGAGAAACATTGAAGCGAACAAATAACAGTTTCTTGCATAAGTAGCCTGTGGATTTTATGTTATGTTGTAAGGACTGCAATAAATTCTTCCTAATTGGCGCTCAGCTTGGGAAGAAAAATGGACAATTTTGGATGAGGAGATGCGATTAATCGAGCCTTGCGGCTTATGTTTATAGTTGCCGATTTTCAACAATTATAAAAACGAGGTGCAAGGCTCGACTAAGTCTCCTCTTCTTAAATTATTAATTTTTGCTTACAAGCTGCAGAAAAATGAAGGAGAATTTACTTGAAATCGTTTTGATAAATTTCACCGAAGATTGCGAAGTGATATGAGAGTCTCGGGTCTTGCGATTCGAGCGTCAGCGTGTTAACGCGGTCCCCTCCATATCAAGACAGGATGGACATCCACCGTTGCAGTTTTATTTATCTTCCTATTGTACATCCGCAGCCGAGAGAGTAATTGTCCGCGTCAGTAATGGCGTTCGTCCTGTTACCACCGTTCAAAATTCGTTCCTCCTTTATATGGCGGCCGGATCCGATGCACAGCGAGTAAGTCACCTGTACTTGTCAGATCGCTGACTGTGCTTCTCTGTCCGATTTGGTTTCTTAGTTGCTTTGTGCCTTTGACGTTGTTCGCCGTAATTCGTTATTAATGCGGCGCGAGGTGCAGGATTGCGTAAGGGTCTTAAACACTGATCCTTTGTGAAGACAGGGAGTCGTTTCTCAATGGCTGCAACCATGCCTGGTTCGTACGCGACTTGGTTCGAAGCGTAGCCAACGCTGTCTATCTTTTTCAAATGACGAAACAGAATCTGCTCGTTGCATGTCCACCGGTTAATCTGATTTGTCGAACTTTTGTTTATTCGCGTCGTAC